GACAGCGACTACTCACCGGCAGCGAGCAGGGTTTGTCCAGCACGACCAGCTCATCGTCTACGTGTATGAGCTTGATAGGTTTGGCTAAGACGGGGGTCTCATGTCTGCAATACAACCACACAGGGCTTGCTCAGAGGCTGGCTGCGGGGCTGAGGGCCGGCCGAGGAGGACGCGACGCGACCCGACCCGACCCTCCCCGACCACTCGGGGCCCCGGTCGCCCCGCTCGGCGCGGGGCCGGCCGGCGGAGCGGGAAGGGCGGAGCGGGGTGGGGTGAGGCCCGTGAGGGGACGTACCCAGGTCCTCACTGAGGACCTCGATCCACATCTCAGTACTGAAGGAGTCGGTCGGTGGAAGTCGAGTAGTTGCATCGGCTCTGTCCCGTCACGTGAGGACCGCCAGTCAGTCATATCGGTCTTTCGTTTACGAAGATAAAACTGTCATGTTGCAGCGTTCTAGGCTGCTCTTACGAAACAAGGAAGGAGAGTGTATGTGTTCGAGAAAATGTTAGTCGTTCTATGACAATTTGCTCTTCCTGGAATGGAATCCCTTACAAGTTTGAACACAATTTGTTTGTTCTTTTCAAACGTATCGCAGAGGTGTAACTATCGGTGTAGTATTTTTGGATTACAGATAAATAGCCAAAAGAGAAAAAAAAACAAAAAAACATACGAAGTAAAGAATCGATGACAAGGCACGTTGTGACAATTGGAAATGTTTTTTACGCCAGTTCACATGACCATAAAATATGATTGTGCTTGCCTAACTTGAAACTTATTTTAATAACGAAACAGAATTATAATCATAGATGTCAATAAACTATCAAACATTTTATTTCTGCTTCCATTCTTAATTATTAGTAGGCTTATTTTATGTTTCTAAAGTCAAGTTTCAAAAAACACCCATGTGAAATTCTAACATTTTCTAAACATGACTGTAGGATAAACTTACGTAAATATTAATTTTCCACAAAAAATACAATTTTATTTATAACTAGTGGACCTGACAAGGCTTTGCTATTGCAGTGTATTACACATCACACACAAATCACGTGATTGTTAATCACATTTTACGCTATTTTGTAAAAATGCTAACAGGCGAGACTTTCACGTTAGGGCTTGTTCTAATGGTTTGGTTATCACGTATCCCATTATTAAAACGTTTTCCTTCAAATTTGCGCATGAGATTGATTGATAGGACGCTACCATGGAGAAATTTAATATACTTGTCCGAGATTCAAGTAATAATTCCGGCCGATATTTCACAATTGCAGGGGCAGAATGTTTGTTTGCAGTGAAGACGCGTTTAGTCCTTGACTGTGCGGCGAGTTGAGTCGAGTTCAGGGGTGCTGGAGCTGTCATCAATGAATAAATCATCATCAAAAGCCCCCATTTGTCCAATCTAATTCAAACCGGTCTTTAAACATCCCATTAACATATTTTAAACATTTCCCATTACTATTAAGAACAAAGTGTGACCATTTTAAGCTAAATCGGTCGAGTGGTTTTCTATGTGCGACACATTCCCTTTTACTTATGTATAGATGTAGGTATCTTGTGTCTAAGTCACCACGAAACGTGTAGCCTCAATATTTCAGTCATCCAGTGATTTGGTGGGCCTTATGATGAAAGTATGATAAACTTGTGCAAACAACAATTTTCTAGAAGAAAGATAATCGCTTTAATACCTTGTGCGAAACCAAGACACGCGTGGAATTACATCTGTCGCCGAGAGGTTAGGTTGCCCTCAACCTAATCCATCTGCCCTTCTTCCGCGCCGCTAGTGAGAGCCACCGCAGCGCTTCTCGGCCCAATCGCGAGGGGGAGGGGGAAGCCCCCCCCCTCCCGGCAGAGGCCGACGGAGCGCTTTGACCCACCGCGCGGAACAAAACTCATTTTCCGCCCGGTCGCATGAAATCTTGATATTTTACGTCGTCACGCTTTTTAATTCCCAACGCGCCGCCCCCTCGCCGAGCCCCACTGGGCCCACGGAGCCGGTGAGCGACTCCGGCTGCATTCATTATCTGAATTTCCCAATGAAATGTTCTGTTCTCAAAACAATTCTAGCAAAACACAAGTTAGAAATTTAATAGTTCACTACTACCTCAGATTGTTCAAACTTAATACGAATGCGCACAACAGGAACAATATGAAGTGCAACTGGGTCGGATTAATGAAAGTGTTTG